TATAAATAAAAAACAGATCTTCAGTTTGTTTAAATCATTGCGTAAAATAATGTAAATCATAAATTTTGATATTTATTACGTTTAAATTAATGTGTAATGTAAATCTGGGAAAATTTGATTCATATTCGATTCGATTTGACCATGCAAATGCTTGATTTGCACACCTCTAGATTTTACTATGTCAATAAAGTTTTTTCTAGAGCCAGGATGAGTTGCACTTTGAATTAGCGTACTTCTTACATTGTTAATTACATTTCGACAATGAAATGTCTAATTATTTTCTAGCCATTGAACGTGAACAATCATATAATATAAAAATATTGTAAGAAAGATTTTTTTACTTTTGGATAACTCAGAAATAAGATGAGAATATATTAGTTTCAATTATATTCATAAATTTTCGATAATTACAGCTAGTATTCTTTCACGAAAGCGAAATTAGCGGCTCTATAGAACTTTAATATGCACGCAGCCATCAGGAGGCTATCGTTCTAGCAAAGATCAATCGGTAACATCCGCCTCTCTCTCATTAATTTGCGACCATGGCGATTATTATACGGTAGAGTTACTCCCTGGGATATTAACCCCTGAACACAAAGTACTCACTTCGCGTCTCTTTTGTCCCGAAAAATCAGTGCGTTTTATTCTCAAGGCCAGCGTAATGAGCTAAGAGCAGCAGCCGGCGACGAACATTTCCTCTCTTGATTACTGTCTGGATCCACGCAATTTAAAAGGAAAATAGTAAAGGGAAAAAAGAGATTACAATAGAAAGAAATATAACAGAAGAAAAAATCTATAACGTAGAATACACAAGATGTAGAAGGATAAAATCAACGTAGACGTAATTTAATTTGAAAGAAAGTCATATCGTTTTCTGGAAATTCTGCTTTTATATAAAAAAAGTTCTTATATAAAAATTTCTGCTTTAAGCGCGCAATAAAAAAATTTCTAGAAATTTGAGCAATCCAGCAATTCCAGCAATTTAAGAGAAGTCGAGTGATTTAAGATGCTAAATTTGGAATAAAATGATTATGTTAAAATTATCTTCCTATTTAGCTTCGCTTTATATTTCGAATTTCATTAAAATTTAAGGCAAATGTGAATCTCAACGTCTCTCTTCGTAACCAATTAACTTCTGCTCGTAGCGATTTCTCTTATATCGTGACATCTATGCGCTTTCATTGCCAAGCGAAGTATAATCCGCTGACGAGGATGAGGAGCTCCTTCTTCCTCTTTCTTGCGCGCATTACATTCCAAATAACGTAGGCCATCGTCGTTACATCGTGTTTCCACAGTAATTAACAATCGTGATTACAGCTCGGTCGGCCGAGGACCGCATTGCGTCAGTGCTCGAATTGCCTCGCGACTTCGCTCGTCCATCCCCTATTCGCATCTCCTCCCCCCCAGATCGGAAGAGCCTCCCTTCCCCGTTTGACCTCCGACGGCATCGCGCCTAATTAAATCCTCGGTTATCGGCTCGATGTGCACGTAGACATCAGGACTGATCGGGGCCACTGGTCCCGATGTAGCTGGTGACCCGGAAGAGTGCGATGCGGCTAAGCTCCGAGCGACAAGTTGCCTCAGTTTGTTCGCCGTGAAAGATAATAATTAATGCGCGACGCTAATAATGACGAACTTTTGAACTGAAGTATAAAGTCTATATACAGTCTGTACCGTAGACCTTCCTTCTGTCTCCGAGGTGACAACGCGTCATAAGTCACACGTGTACAAATACAGACGTGTGATAATAGGGGTTGATGATGGGCGCATCTTGATTGGGCCTCGAAATTTCTCACCTCTTACGTTTTATCAACTTTAGCCAATAGTCGACGACTTTATCTATTAGATTCGAAAAGATCGTAGGAATTTTAAGGATAAATTGGGACGATTTATTAAGGCCTTTGAGGACGGGAGCTTTGTAATAAGCTAACGGACCTTATTTTCTAAGTGTTTTCGGGCTCGCTAAATTCAAAGATAAATCAATATCTCTCAATATCTTGGATTAATTACAGACGAATAAATGGATATGTCAAAGATGAAGAGGACAAATTTATATAGAATACATGGAGTCAAATCAAGTCAACGTTACGGATCGTCATTCCGGTTCCATGACTGTTCCATCAATTTTTTATCGATAGACGATATGAGTATATTATTTCCTGTTTTATTTATTTATTACTTTGCGTTTTTTATGTAATCGTATATTAATTATTTAATGTTGGCAGCTGATGAAGTAATTAATTGGTACCGCAATCATATATATCTGTACATCTCGATATTTAAATAAAATATATTTATTAGTATACTCATGAATTTGGAGCAAATGGAATAATAAAGTTACGCACAAGATGGTAAAAGATGATCAAATAAGTAGCCAATATTTTAATGAATGACGGTGTGTACAATTAAATATTAATACTTTTTCTAGACAAGTGACCCGTTTTGGGATTATCTCCTTTTATTTTGTAAATTACTCGCTCAATTTTCACAAAACTTGGCCTATACGGTGATTTGATAATACTTTATTTGAATCTGAGGTTCGAAAAATAAAGAAATTGAAAATGATGGATCCAATATGGGCAAAATGTCCAAAAAATAATCTGATTGTCGTAAAATTTGGCTTTAGGAAATTTCAACATTGCTAAGTAACATCGAGTTCTAATTTCGCTTTATTTAAAACTTATTAGTGCTACGCAAACGCAGTATTACGAGTAGTAACTAACTTTCAAACTCTTTTGTCGTTATTAACAGTTGAAAGTCTATCTAAATGATCCCAGTCTTCGACATTGAAATCTTCACGCTTGAATCGAGCAAATCACTTCCATACAGTATTTTTGCCTACAGCATTCTTTCGGTAAACGGAGTAAAAATCCTTTTTGCTGCAAACAGCATTTTTACCTTTTCAGAAGCCGAAGAACGTTAGATACTGCAAGTACACTTTATCATCAGCCATTTTCAAAATCACATGGAATAAGCAATACTCAAACTAATTCACACAAAAAAGTCACGTTGTTGCAACATGTAGGTATGTTGAAACATTATCTCCCAGAATATGCAAGATATCATAACTTGATATGAAACGTGAAATTTTCTCGCAAGCTAACGTCCTCTTTTAAAAATTCCTATGAATTTTTCGAACAACCTAAATACAAGTAATATATTTGTATATGTGTAAACAATAGATAAGTATAAAAAATAGATTTCGAGATTTTTCTTCGTCGAGAGAACCATAAATCAATTCTCACATTCAGAAATACGCGTAAAGCCGCGCTTGTAGTCTTTATAATTTAATATATAAATATTTATGTGTAGGAGAAGTTATATACACACCGATGTTTTTCACTTGAAAAATTCATTGCAAACGACATTAATAAACAAGCTTCCTACGTAAATGTTATTTTTTTCTTTTGCATTAATGGGAGGAGAAAATCTTTCCTCCAGATTGTTATCGGACAGATACACCCTTTTTTCGCTCGACCGCGAAGGGTCTGTCGGCAAACGAGAGTTAAGTAAGGACAATTAATGTGCCATGCAGGATAATCGATTTTCTACGGAGTAATTCACGAACATCCTGTATACACTGTGCCAGATAAAATAGGATCCGCCAAACGAACATAACGAAGTTTGCTAAACGGTCGCCGCGGCTCTCTCCCGCGTACGTTCCGTTTTCACCACCATCATCACCACGTCGATCCTCGATCTCCAGATGCATCCTCCGCGTGACTTCGATAAACCGATCCCGAAATCGCCGAGGAAAGATTCTTTCATTAAATGAAGTAAATGAACGCGCGAATATAATTACGAGTATAACGTTTGCAACACCTTTCCGCTGAGAAACGTTTACGCGAAATATCGTGTAATTAATATTTTTTAAAGGATCTTTCGGAGGATACGGAAAAATTTCTAAATGTGACTGTGAGAAAAGAGACATGCAAATTGTAGAATAAAAATAAAATTTTAGATCTTTTTTTAAGTGCAAATTTTTTTTATGCACTCTCGCAGTGAAAAATGCATTTTATAATGAAAGTCGTGAAGACGGGGACTCTGGACCACCCCGTATTTGCTGTTTTAATTTAGAGGTACGCGATTGTTTCGCGACGCGCGCATTTGAGGATTAACGTGACCCATATTCTCTTTTTAATTAAAACCGGGGGGGAGGGGGGAAGCGAGAAGAGGGCTTTTTAACTGCTCCTGGAAAATAGTTTGCACCGCCTCAGTGTAAAATTATCGGGGTGTTTATCGGTTATCGTTTACGAAAGTGGGACGCGTGTAGGTACTGGCCATAATAAGATAAGAGAGGGTAGCAGGTGACACAGTAACTTCGCCAACGATAGCGATGATTTATGTCGACCTGATGAAAGAGGTAAAGAGAGGAAGAGAGAAGGAGAGTAGAAATATTTTGTAAATTTAATTTAAAAAATAGCGCGAAGGAACTTCCGTGCAATTTTAATACGTGAATTGACTTGCGTTTTATTTATTCTATTGTACAGTTGTCGAATGAAAGAGACAAGTGGCAATCCCCCTCTCCCCAGTTTATCTCACTCGAGGAGTCAACCACTATGAGAATCGGTGTACATTTTTTTAAGAATTTATTGCCAGTAATGCGACAATACAATACTAGCAATACGTTATCAATACATAGCAATACTTCGAGCAATACCTCGAGCAATACTTCGATCAATACATAGCAATATATTAGCAATACTTGGCAATATTGTGCAATAGGTGGCAGTACATGAGGTAATAGATTGCAATATTACTGACAATACGAAAGCAATACAATTATAATACTAGCAATAAAATGTGCTATAAAGTGTGCCATAATTGGCAATCACTGTACATTTTTTTATTAGTGATTGACCCCCCCGGTTTCACTCTTATGAAAGTGAATTGCGGGCATCGCAAAATGAAATTCTATTTTTCTTTGGAATTGAGCATTGTCCGCGTTGTTTACAGAGCGGTTATAATCTCTATAGAATCAAACGTTACGTTTGTTCCAGAGGTGACGATGTGCAACGATCGATCGAGCTGTTGGACAAGGTGCTCTCAGAGTACGACGAGCACGACGCGGAGGGCGAAGGTGGCGGCGGCGGCGGTGGCAGCGGTGGTGACGGCGGTGGTGGCGGCGGCGGCGGCGGCGGCGGTGGCGGCGGCGGCAGCGGAGGCGGCAGCGGTGGCGGGAGCGGAAGTGGCGGGGGCATCGGGGATTGCGGCAGCAGCACGGAACCGAGTATTGGCCTCACGCCCGACGACGAGAGTCCGTCCTTAGGTACTCTTCCCTTCCCCCTTTCTCTCCTCCGCTCCCCGTTTATTGTCTCTTCCCGTTTCTTATTTCCTCGCGGGACAGCCTCGCGAATCCTTCCCGTGTTTACTGAGCGCGATTAACTAACGCTCGCACGAAGGATGCTACTTGAATTCCTTTTTTTTTGCCCCTGATGTATTATTATTGATTTTTCTTTTCACCTGAAGGATATTGGATATAAAAACGAGAAAGACGACTGTCTTTCATTGGAGCGTGTTGATACGAGTAGAATTTATATTCTTCTAAAATTCGACAATGGATTTCACTCTCGAAAACATCTTTGAAAAGGAGTTGGTTCAAAATTACCTCCGAGCGTACAGAGAAATTGCGGAATAGCCATGTCATTTGATAGTTCTATATATAAGAGTTAAAAAAGTCTTCAATAAGCGTAAGAAAGATTACAGAATACATCGGCCGTCAATACAAACCAAAATTTGGAATATTACAACGCGTGGAAGATTTTCAATTCTTTCAGTGTCAATATGTTGCAATAGTCAGATATTCATCAAAAACTATGTTTTTGATAATATGTCGCACTTACTGCACAGTATATGTATATCTTAGAACGCTGACAGTGGCTAAGGAGTTGTGTCCGGCAGGATATCCGATTTCAGCCATTTTACCCTCAAGAAAATGGCGGCGATAGTGTGTTAGTCATGTTAGTGCATATAGTATAGTAAATGTATTTCCCGTTACTAAAGCCTTAAACACAATGAAAAGGAATAGGGAACAGAGAATAAAAATTTCAACCTATCAAAAACTGTATACTGTAGAATACACGGTTTCTAATAGGTTGAAATTCTTATTCGTTATTCCCTATTCCTTCATGCTGAAAGATCGAAAAAATTTGCACGAGGTCGATAAAGCAGACTCTTCAGTGTCAGTGGTATCTCTAAATGAACTTCTTACAATATCTTCTGTCTTACTCAAACATGTGGAATGTCCTTATCTAACTTATTAAAGTGCCATCTCTTGCAAAATGCGACACTTACTGCCACACGCAATTTTTGCTGTCTTTACCTTAGCTGAGCGTATGAATTAACACAAATTGCATTCTAAGGGATAATTGTTTTTTTACGCTTCCCATCGTAGCTTAAAAGATCTTGTATTATTCGTGCAAGTAAGTCCGATGCGCGCGAACTACTTTTTTTGTACATACGAGCTACAGAACTTTTGTTCCAATGAAATGTTTATGTCAGGTGACAGGTTATGATAACTGTACGACCCGAAAAAAGGTAATTTTTTAATATTTTTCGTTTTTACTACAAATTTATAGTTCGCGCACTTACATTTTATCTCTATTTCAATCCTGTAAAAGCGTTTTCAAATCCGTTCAGTCGTTTCGGAGTTATCCATTAGAATGCAAATGTCGGTAATTTCAACCTTCCAGCATCACCTTAAGGCTTAATGCGACTCCAAACAGTAACAGGAATGATACCTACGGGAATCACACTGAATACACATACTACAGCCGCCATTTTTCAGGGTAAAAATGATTAAAACGGAATATCCGCCAGACATAGATTTTTATATGTCAAAGCGACAAATTAACGATCTAAGGTATAGACATCTGTAATCACAGGCTTAAAAAGCTTAATGGCTGCCTGCTTTCACTTAAGTGGCGTCTACAATGAGACTTAAGACTTAATATTTAAGAAAATTGATCAATCACAATCGATTATTCTTCTCACGTGAGATGAATAATCGTCTCTGATTGGTCAATTTTCTTAAATCTTAAGTCTTAAGTCTCATTGTAGACGCCGATTTAGGGATTATCGGACTTTCTTTCAGTTCTGGCGCTCATCATTATTGTTTCAATGCAATGCAACTTAATAATAATAAAAACACAAATCGAGGTGATAAAAAGGACGAGATTAGAAAGTATTGAAAATGATTTTTTGCAAAGTAGTGTTAAAGGACAATTTATTGATATCGCAAGGAAAATGGTGTTATTCTGTCAGAAATAAATTTATTCGTTTCATATAGATATATCTTTTCTATTTCTTAACAAAATAACAAAGATTGTTTAAAAGTTCTAATCCTACATATTTTGGTGTGTTCTTGGCCCGTAACTTTTGGCCATCCCGTATAAAGTTGGCGCCATTGATACATTTGGTTCAATATGTGATGCTCTATCAAATGGCATATGAAATTTTTGTGTACACCGTAAGGCAGGAATTCCGTAAGATTTGGACCAATTCCTTTTTCCATTTTATAGTAAATTCTGGGCAAACTAGTTAAGCCTTGACGGCTGTATCCTTAAACGTTTATGGCATCACTTTTGCATCTTTGTTTGAGTATCCTTGCATCTTCGTTCGTATCTTCGGGTGCCCGCAGGCATCGCGTCTCACGGTCTCGGAATTCTGCGGTACCGCTAACCGCAGGCGCCTCCGTCCCTCGAGATTTGGGGCGCTATCATACATATAAGGTTCTAAATCCTAATCCCAATTGTAATAGAAAACGGGTTGTAAGCCGCTAATGTAGCTCTAATAGAGATTCATTATTCTATCCTAGGATAAATCCTCCAGAACAATTTGAAATTATAAGAAATAATGTTAACACACACGATTACAAAAACAAAGATTTTAAATAAAACGTCAAGTTGCATAAATTTTTATAAAAGATTCGCTAAAAATGTAGCTTGATATAATTTAGATAAATATTATTGGTGTCGATTTACTTCTCGAAGTGAATATATAGTTTCTCATCGATGCGCTTTGTACTCTTTACACAGAAACTCTTTCACTCGAAAATCGCATTAAAAAATATGTTTCTTGCGCAAATTTTTGAATTTATTGTTTTTTCCCATGCGACTCCGCGTATCGTCGGAATATTTTCGGCAGAATTGGCCACTACCTTGATTGGCCACAGAAATCAATATCATCTCGAGTTCTCGAGTACACATGCCAGCAAACTGACAGACCTGACGGTGAGAATTACTTCGGTTCTTTTTTTTATCCGAATATTCGTCACGAAACGGATAGAGCGTGAAAAACACCGTGAATTGTGAACCAGCCGAAAAAAATTTTCATCTGGCGCGTATTGAACTTTGCATTTCTTGCACGTAATTTCAGATTTTGTACGTAATACCAATTTCGCAATTTGCGGAAATTCTACCAGTTACGTTACTCGCGGAATGTGAGTTATTATTTGACATTACCGCGGTACGCGTAACTAACTTTATGATGTTATTTATGGAAGATTGTGCATTTATTTGTTCACACGTTATTACATATTTTATACATAAATTGTAATTGAACGTATACAGCAGCAATAAATCGCTCACTATTGATTAAGCGGTAAGGCCACCTTTGGACGTACAAAATAAAGGCCAATTTTAGGAATCTTTTTCCAAGCGTATACTAAAACCGGTCAAAATTTAATATGAAGTACATTATTAGTTATCTTCTAAGGTACAAAAAAACATTATTTTAAAAGTTTTTTACTACAAAATGGCGGCTCCAGTGTCCGGCGAAGCGATTGTCGAGCCCCCTAAACGGGCGAACCGGCTGCTCCGGCCGAGATTTGAGTCTGGAACAAAAAACTAAATTTTTTCTTTAAATATATATCATAAACTAGTAGACTACGTAGGGATTTTGCGATAAGTTATAAACTTTTTGTTTATAAAACATTTATTACGCAATTTTTATGTCGAAAAATAAATTTTTTTTTCATATGCTCACCATTTTTCGAAAAAAAAGGTATTTTCAAAATCCCTACGTAGTCTATTAGTTTATGATATATATTTAAAGAAAAAATTTAGTTTTTTGTTCCAGACTCAAATCTGCCGGAGCAACCGGTTCGCCCGTTTAGGGGGCTCGACATAATCGCATCGCCTAACCCGGACACTGGAGCCGCCATTTTAGTAGTGAAAAACTTTTAAAATAACGTTTTTTTGTACCTTCGAACCTAACTAATAATGTACTTTATATTAAATTTTGACCGGTTTTAGTATACGCTTGGAAAAAGATTCCTAAAATTGGCCTTTATTTTGTACGTCCATGGTGGCCTTACCCCTTAACGGCAATAACAGTGAGTAATCGACAAAGCTTATGTGATAGATTAAAAATTACCGGAAAAACTAAAAACTTTGAGTAAATAAATCCAATAAAAATTAATTTTTTTACTTTTTTACGGCCCTGAAAATCTTTTACTGGAACATATATTTTCTTTGAACATTTGACATATTATTGTTTAGAATTCAGTTTTTGTACTTATCCAAAAAATTTGTGTATAATGACAGCTATAAACAATCAAAATGTAGTAAAATGGCTAATAATATGTGACGATGTCCATGTATATACTTAAATCACTGTCAATAGGGAATAGGAACTGAATTCAAAACTCATGTTGTTTGAACAAACATATATGTCTCTTTTGTGTTTATTCAGTCGCTAGGAATTCATGAATCATAAAAGATATTAATATCAAATTATAATATTAGATATTAAACGATAAAAATTACCAAGAAAAATGAATTTTTATATATCATTTTTTTAGGATCTTTTAAAAAATATTTTTATCGTTAAAAATCGCTTTTTTATTCTATATTTTACTCCGAAGTAAAAAAAATGTTTTTTAATTTTGGAGTAAAAATCGATCGTTTTGCAATAACAAACGGTTTTTTTTCATCATTGAAGATTGAAAATTGCAAATTGGAGGTAAGAATTCAATCAATTAGAGCAAAATAGATTAAAAATTAAAATTAAAAATGTCTGATTAGCCAAATTCTAATCTTTAAGTCACAATTCTTTGATCTTCAAAATTCGTAATCTCCGATACGGGCTTAACGTTGCACTGTCACAAGTTAAATGTTAATTCGGATTTTCTCGATGTGAAAGAAGTACGTCGCGCTCTCCGGCGCGAGCGAAATCTTTCCTCTCTACGTTGAAATAGCTAGCCTTGGGAATTGCGACAAATGATCGGCTCCCGACAAATTTTCGCCGAGGTAGCATCCGCTTGTGTCACTTGTGTGGAGGAGAAGAAGAAGCGTGGCGAGTGCGCGCGAGGAGGAGGAGGAAGCGCGCCGCTTTATATCGACAGCGGGCGAAGATAGTAAATTTCCAGTGACAACTGGAGTACGCCTCTTTCTAGAACTTCGCACGCTATTTCCGCCTCTCTAAAGATATCTGCTCGCGTTTGAGGAATGCAAAGTTCCATATACCGGCGCGAGTTGTCGCGAAAAGTCGTTCGAGGCGACGCGGCGACGCGACGACGACGCGCAACGCGGGCGACAAATGCGGGTGTGCGTGCACGCGCGAGCGCCATGCGCGCGAGTACCGCGCGATTTACGTGATTTAAACTCGTCACTCCGCCGACTAAGATATTTAACTTTCCAGCGCTCTCTCGTGCACGACCCAGGGCAAACTCGCGTGGCGAACTCGTAATTGTAGGGTCCGTCTGTGCGCAATGAGAAATATACAGGTTGCGCCGGAATGCAACGCAGAATATGAGTCTGAGTCCCAGTTTCATTCTAGACTTTAAGCTAAATTTAATCTAAAATTTACATTTACTTGTCAGCTTGAATTGTTACTAATTTATTAATTTGTTAATTAATATACTAATTATAAATTAATTATTTTTTAAATATACATATGATTTAAATACGATTTAAATAATTTAAAATTATTTTACTAAATTATTTATTATGAATCCGACTTTTAATGATTTCAGAAAATTTTTGTCGATATTTTCTCGCAAAGGTTCTGTTTGTATTTTGCGAATGGTAATGTTATATTATTGCTGAATGTAATATTTTTTTAGTATAAAATGCTGTCGCAATTCCCAAGGCTAGCTATAAATGCTGTTTGAAATTTTTTAATTTTTGGATATTTATTTAGATTTTTTAATAATATTTGTTTTGTTTTAAAGCATTTTTTTCATTATTTAGGTTCTCAAACTTGTTCATGCTTATGGAGATTCTATTTACGTACGATCATTAAGAGTAAAAGAACGAAAATTGTAAGCAATAAAATATTTATTTTAAAAATTCTTTATTTTTTTAGTATTTTAATTTTTTTCATGTCTAATATTTGAAATAAATAGCTCTTTTAATTATTTTGTATGTTCAAATATGTATAGGGTAAAAGCGCTAGTTCTGGATTATCTGCAGGATAAGAATAAAAATTTTTGTTTTTATCCTATCATAAGAATAAAAATTTTTGTTTTTATCCTATCATAAGGCAATCCTTATTATAGTATTAAATTTTAAATGAATTTTTAAAGATACATCTTAATATTGACATTTTATTACTTAAGGAAGTTTGATAGCAAAATCAAAATACTTCAATCTGTTTAAAAATTATATAAAATATTCTTTAAAACGAAACTAATATCATATTAAAATTTCAAACCAATTAACCGTATGATTTTTAAGAAAAAAAAATCTAAAATTAGAGTTTTATAGCCTGTTGTCTTATGACAGTTGCATTACATGATTGATATATCACATAATTACATACATTTAAAATGCTTCCATTTACATAAAAAATAATAATTAGTTAGAGCAAACCTTTTTTTACGTTTTTGCAAAACTTGAACTCCATCCACCATATAATTTTTTTGTATACAAGCAAGAAAGTGATGAAAGTATACCTATTTGACATTTTAAATATTAACGAGGTTATATTGCTGCTTACTTCGTCTTATGACATGTATGTGTGTTGGAATATATGTTTAATGCAACGACAAAGACACATCTATAGGCATACTCCCCTTGCCACCTACCCCCGCAAGTGATCTAACGAACCTCCTTAACCGAATGATATCGATAAATGTGCAGCGTTATTGCTAGTAAATAAGAAACAATTGACGATTAATAAAGCTAACACAAATGTTAAAGAATCTTGTGATATCTGCCATTTAATGAAAAAAAATAGAATTATTTAAATATAATAAATATTATATATTATTTAAATGTAATAAAAAAATTATCCGGAACTAATACGATCCACATGTAGTGCACTCACCCTAGAAAGGATGAATTAAAAGGGGCAAAATAATATACAAAATCATTTTAAATTTGCGTTTAAAAATGCCTTAACATGGAATGCACGATTTAAATTTTTTTTCAAATTTTCTAACTAATGGAATTCGTAGAGAATTTTATAAAGCCGACCTACACGCTCGAGAAAATCACATGAGGCTTTTCGTACGAAGTGAAGCGCGTGTAAACAGCTTGTAGGAAACGCATTTTGCAAGGAAGGCGAGAAGAAACGAGAGACGGAGGAAGAGATTATCGTCGAACGCAGTTTCTCGACCTATCGAATGGCGGATCGTCGGACGTGCGGGGTCTTCGACTCAGAGCCCGTCATTTCCTCCCCGCCCGCCGGTTCTGGAATACATATTTTTCCTTTATTTCCATTGAAACGTTCCTACGGACGTACAATATAAACCTGCCGACTTGGCGGCCTGCCATTCAATTCGCGGAAAATCGGCGTGAAAGCATACATATCCCCGCGCTCTCGCGCGAGGAAAGAGGAACAGGGAAAAAAGAGAGAGAACGAGAGAGAATCGGGCTCGCGAAAATTTCAAATCGGCATTTCTATCGACAGCGCTCACTCACTCTTTCTATCTCTCGCCGGTGCACCTGCGAACGATGGTGGGGTGATTAACAGAGAATTTTTCACCCTCCCCGCGGGAAAAGGGAAGCACACGGTATATAACCGCGCGATATATCCGCGCTTTTAATCGCGACAGCATTCGCGCACCGCGAAAAAAGCGTAGGATAGCCCCTAACATAATTTTACATTTCTGACGCGGGCATTTTCGATGGATAAAAATATCCGAGGTGTTACACGAGGAAAAATAACTGAAGCGATCGATTTCTATTACCTCGCCTCCCGCGAAGTGCTTTTAGTAGTTCGCGGAATATATGATCAGTGCCCGCGACGTTTTATCGTGGCAGCGTGTATTTCCTAGGATCACCGAGCGAACAAAAAGTTACCGAACATCGACGGGGATACGAATCATGCAATTCCTCCTCCGATTTCGGAAACTATTTGAACGGGAAGTGAGACGTCGCGCTTGGAATAAGTCGAAAGTTTCTACGGATTAAATCGCCCTCGCTCTGGAAAAGTCCCGCAAGGACGTCCCTCTCCTCTTTACCTACCCGTGCCTCTGCCTTCTTTTTGCTCCTATTCTGTCCCCGGAAAATTCGCGCGAAACGTAATCGCGGAACGTATGCCGGCAGGACACCAATCTGAGGACGACGGTTACATGAGTATGAATGGTCGGAAGGCGAAAATGGCGCTGGTAGCATTACGCCCGGTTCCGGATTGCCCGGAGCCGCAGGATCCCGCGGGTGTCTCGACGCAGGAATTCCCGCCGCCCCCGGAAGAAGCCGAACGTATCATCTCGACTCTTCTGCCGATGTAAGTATAAGACACGCAATCACGTACGCGCGCGGCTATATCGGTAATTGTGCGACGTATTTTCTTTCGGACTTTTACCTACAATCGTGTGTTTCAACATTTTATTTACTTGAAAACTTTTATAAAAAATATGGTGCTAAAAATATTATATACAGGGCGTCCCGAAATTCACGAATTAAAATATCATAACAGGAAAGTCTTCGAAAAATTAAGTAAAAAAGTTATTTGTAAACTTTTATTCTAATTAAGCAATAATTTTTAAGATATAAGGGTTTAAATTTAGCCAATTATAGATTAGTACTCGCGTGAAGTGCACGACCACTAACAATAACGACGCGCTCGCGGACATGTTCTTGTTTATGCGTAATCTATATATAATTGGCTAAATTTAAACTCTTATATCTCAAAAACTACTGCTGAAATTAAAAATTTGCAAATAACTTTTTGACTTAATTTTTCGAAGGCTTTCTTGCTATGATATTTTGATTCGCTAATTTCGGAATACCCATATTAAAAATTTAATATTTTTAGCACATAATTATTTCTTAATTGTATATCTAATTCGATATTTTTGATTCATTTTTTATTTAGTTTATTTTCTTGATTAGAAATGAACAAGTACAATACTCGTTGTGAAATTTTTAATGCATCGTGATTTCTTTATTGAATAAAAATCAAATAGAAATGTTGCTCGTTGAAAGATGTACTCCTTCATTGAAAAAGCTGCGGCGGGCAGTATACGTTTCATCATTTATTTGCTGAAAAGAAATCGGTCCTATAAAGTCGAGTCTGATCTCGACCGCGTTTGCTAACTTAAAAGTCTCACTCAAATAACATCTTCATAAACTTTGCCTGTACGTCTCGTCTGTCATTAGACGTAGACATAATTTTGTTTAATTCTCGATTTATGTGACACAACCTGCATTTGAAAAGGATATACAAGGTGTAATTATAGCATAGAGAGAGTGGCGGATCAAGTAAGCCGTAGAGTTAATTTCACAATACAATATGATCCACGTAGAATAAAGAAACGGTGATAAAATTTCGATATCTCTAAGCGAGGTGACGCGTGGTGAGATAAACGATAACGTGGAACCAGTGCAGCAAGATGTACTTAATGTCGCGGATAGCCTGAGCGTCGTAAAAGTAAGACCGCACGCGACGCGTGGTAAACGAGAGAGACTCGTACAACTCTCAGAGCAAACGATACGTGCAGGCGCGAGGAAACCGGTAATGAGATACTTAATGCGGTTGGAGAAACCGGGGTGGCAAACGCATGGACCGATCACAGCGTTGATCCAGTCGAAGCGCACAGCGATCTTGAATTAATATTAGAAGTGACATGAAAATATTACGATAAATAATGATAATTCTAATAAGAAAATATTAAGTAGTTAAACAAAAAAAGAACAAAGAGAGAAATAATTGTTTCTCGTAACTCTTTGAGTACCATGTTTGCTTTAACAAATTGCTCTATCACGTCGCAATTCTGAGAAATATACGGGTAAAATTGCAAGAAAGAATTATTTTAGTATATTTTGACGTAACACAATGAACCTCTACTCTGTTGAAAAAATTTTATTTCAATCAAAATTAAATATGTCATGAAAACTTTCAGTCCTTAAAAGAAATTTTTTGTATTAATTATGGTTAAAAAAATATTTATGATTAATATAAAATTGCCAAAATTACGACTTTCATATAAACACTTAAGTTTGAATAACAAAAATGAAAAATATTTGGAAAATTCTTAATGGTTCGTATACTGGGTGTCTCATAATAGGTGTATGACCGTTCATGGGTAGGTAGAACGGACTAAACTGAATCGAAAAGTCCTCTACCATTTTGCAAAATTCGCAATCGTTAACAAGATATTAATTTTTGAAGATCGATGAATAAACTTAATATCTCGTTAATAAATGCGAATTTTACAAAATAGTAGAGGACTTTTTTGTTTGGTTTAATCTACTTATCTTGCCACGCACTTGCATTCAGCGGTGGGCCGAATGAATACGCGTTTATTCGTCAATCTTCAAAAATTAATGTCTCGTTTAAGATTGCGAATTTTGCAAAATGGTAGAGGACTTTTCAATTCAGTTTAGTCCGTTCTACCTACCCATGAACGGTCATACATCTATTATGAGACACCCTGTATAATAAATCACAACTCTAATGTAATAGACTCTACACTAAACATAAATACCTTTTAACCATAATCGATCCAACAAACTCATTTTAAGTACTGAAGATACTAACGTTTAATTTTAATCGCAATAAAACACGTCAAATATTATTATAACATATCACAATACACTAAAATTGCCCTTTTTACAACTTTAACTATGAATTTCTCAAAATTTTAACGTAATAGAGCAATTTGACAGAATTATATTCAGCACCCAAAAAATTACGAGAAACAAATACCTTCGTTTTTATGCTCAAAAAGTAAACAAATCATTTTTTATTAAACGGTGTTATTAATATTAGTATTGCTTATCAAAATTATAATATTATTATTATTATTAATATTAATATTGTTGATAATAAAAAAAAGTACCGTGATTCTCTAATAATATAAGAAAATCAATAAATGAAGCGGTCGTGCGATAGGTTTAAATTTGATTTGTGCAAAATCAGAAACCGGCGCCTCTCAGTTTGAAGAAGGTTCGCCGGACTGCACATGATATTGAATATACGAATGCAATCTTCTTGTGGTTTACCTAAACTTGATTGAATCCTCGAGAATCCTCAACTCAGAATGCAATTGCTAAGATTGTTGAAACACTTGTTAGCACTAAATATCGGAAATTGTCAAAAAGAAAAAGGAACCATTCAAAATTCGTCGAAGAATCTGCGTTGAAGCTTCGCGAGCCAAACGGCGCCACTTTTACATGACGTTTGAAATTTACAAATTACACTTTTACAGATTCGCAATACATTTAGAAGAGCGAAATCGTGCACGGAATACCACGCGTGCCGTTCCTCGTCGAAAAATTCAACGAACGCTGTAAATAATTTCGTTCACGTACCACGGGCAACGATAACTCATGGAGTTACTCGGTCTCGTCGGTCTTGAAGACCTGTGGAAGACCCCGCGTCTATTTAAATTTCCGCCCGAGGCCCTCCCGTACCTGTGCGGGTTCCCTTCTGCGGGCGTTTCAACGCGTTTCAAGGCCGAGGACGGACTTCCGTCTCCGTAATAAGGTGGGCGGCGAGACCGCGCTTTTTTTATCTGTCGCGCGACGACCTGTCGCAACTTTTTCGCATCTTCGGCTTTATAGTCCCCGGGCGTAACTTCATTTCATCCACGGAACAGGTGCCGTTTCGCCCCGGGAATCCTCTGGTTATCGCCGCGCTCCTCCTCGCCAACTCCGTCCGTTTGTTACCTCAAACAAGACTGGAAGACTATAGAACACTCTCCGGCTCGCTCCCGGACGGTCAGAAGTTAAACTCCCACTTCCCGTATTCGTACTACTTTCGCGTAAACTCCGATTGCATTCTCTTTCTCGACGAGGACGAGATGTATTGGGAACGACAACGACGACGACGACACCGCCCACGCCGCCGTCGTGCTTGCATTTTGCCGGCTTGTTCCTTTGGAAAACTATTGAGTCTTGATCTCATCAGGAGTTGGTCCGCTTGTTCGGTTCACTTCGTATCTGGAGAACCGTCTGAAGTTTTTTGAAGATTATCCAATTATTTGTTTCCTCGTGAGCGTAAACGTGGCCAATCTTTTTCTGTTTTCCACTGGACTGCGTCGATAAAGTGCACCGGTTCTCGCTGGCGATCGTTGACAATTAAAATTAGAATTGAGTGATATTAAAAACAATTGCGTGGAGAAAGAGTGATCCCAAAAAAAGGTGATTTTTTTCGCCCGTTTTCTTGAACCGTCGATTTTTTGGGACTGGACTGTGTGCCAAATGGTACCTTATAATGAGATAAGGCGATGCTGAAAAGTCGGAATTACCGACACATTGTAGTTGTAACGATAACTTCGAAAATACTGAACGGAATTGAAATCGCTTTTATAGGATTGAAATAGACATAAAATGTAAGGGGGCGAGCTATGAATTTGTAGTAAAAACGATAAAAAATTAAAAAATTATCTTTTTTCGGATCGTACAGCTGTCACCTGACGTAAACATTTCATTGGTATAAAAGTTCTGTAGCTCATATGTACAAAATAAATAGCTCGCCCCCTTCGGATTACAGAAACGAATAATACAAGATCTTTTGAGCTACGATTGAAAGCGTAGAAAAAAAGATATCGTTACAACTGCAATTTATGATAATTCGTACGCTCAGCTAAGGTAAAGACAGCAAAAATTGCGTCTGGCAGTAAGTGCCGGATTTTCCAAGAGATGGCACTTCAATAAGTTAGATAAGGACATTCACGTATTTGAGTGCAGAGACCAGAAGATATTGTAAGAAGTTCATTTACTTCATTTAGAGATACTACTGACACTGAAGAGTCTGCTTTATCGACCTCGTGCAAATTTTTCCGACCTTCCAGCATCGCCTTAAGAGGATGCTAAAGCCGTCTGTTTTATCGACAAAAATACCATTTTTGTTGGATACAAAATACTTCGTATTAATCGCATAGAATAAAATTTCCTTTTCCACGATTAAAACACACATGCTAATGCATCTGGCTCTGGTGTGTTTTGTACCAAAAACAGGAAAAAATTAAGAAATTACAGATTTCGTTATCCATTTTAACCTCAACATGGCGACTAATACTATCAATTTACCAAAACGTTTACTTCGTGAAAAAGTTAGGCAGATTATATGCTCAAAATGAAGGCAGAGCCAGATGTACAATAAAGTAATGAATATAGGTGAATCGTTAAAATCAAATTTAGAAGCCTAAATAAAAATACATTTGTATCCTACAAATTCGTGTATATGTATGACGTGAGATATATTGATGTGGTAATAAAC